CTACTGGTTTTGAAAGAACATGAGTACTCAGAACATTTGAGGAAAATCAGCATGAAGTCCTACCCTCAATGGAAGACCTTTCTATCAAATTCTTTCTTGTTTATCTTATAGTCAGCACATACAAATGGGAATGTGCAAAATTAACAACTGATTTGAAAACTGTAAGATTCCGATTCTCTAGATTTCAATTTCTTATTTTCTTTAAGCCCAGCAACAGTACTGATGAATGATATTTAGCTACTTCATTTTTAAATAGTATTTGAATATCAAACCATGATTAAGACCTCTCATTTGTAGGAAGGCAAGGCTAACTCAAAACTCCCTCTTGAACAGGCCTGTATTTGTTTTACTGAATCTTTTCTTGTTGTCACCATCACTTCCTTTCTTCATTCATTTCCAAATATGGTACAAGTTTGCTGGAAAAGTTTGTTCTGAAATTTCACATATCTCCCCAGGAAAAGTTGCCTTTCTCTAAAAATAACCCCAAAGTACCTAGAGAACTACTGTATCACAAAACTGGTCCCAAAAATTTAAGTCAGTTGGTATGCAAGATTATGTGAAATGAACTGGTAAACAAACAAGTAATTACAGAGGCTATCAAAGAAAATAAAAGCTAAAAACTCCAAGCATTATTCCTCTCAGTACCACATTTTCAGGAGCTTACATATAAATTACTTTGGGAAAGAAGACAACAAAAGCAGACTACACACTCAGATGATCTGTATTTGTCTGAACATTATGAAATCCAAAGGAGACTTTACAGTCCTATCAAGTTACGCAGACAGGGGAGGAGCATGACACGCTCTAAAAGTGCTAAATTTGCAACACAACGTAATTGAAACACCCATGACCAAATTTGAATAGTTCCTAATAATCAACATTGTGTAATGGAAAGATAAGTGAGATCAGATAAAAGGATAAATGGAGTTTTCACTCTATATGAATGCTAAAATCCATGTAACCTCAAGAAAAAAAAAAACCTACAAAAATACCATCACATTAGTATTGTCTATGAGGAGAAGTTGTATCAGAATATTCTGGAGATGGTCTGGCACTACAGAAAGGTTTTCCAAATATGAAATTAACTACTTAAGCACTGCTCTGTTAGGTAAGATACCACCAGATATTAGGAGAAAGAAAAAAAAATTAGCTTTTGGAAAATGTACTATAGCAATAAATCAACTACTTAGTTAAACAAATTATAGCCCTGGATCCACAATAAGGCTTTAGAAATAAAGGCTTCTATGTGTGGTTAAAAAAGAAATGAACAGTTAATGCCTCTCAAAAACACTAAGAATCAATACATCTTGTAAGTTTCCCAGCCATAAGCAGAGTCAGTTATTTATTTGCTTGGCTTCCCTAAGCTGTTCTTTCAAATTTACCATTTCTCATTCCGTTTAGCTGCTGGTCTCATTGAAAGGTGTTCATGATCCGAATGTAGAAGGAGTAAATAAAAAGACAACAGATGAAAAAGTATGTTGGATCTGATTACTTGTTAGGAATAATGATTATCTAACAAGTAGAGACACTTTGCTGCACACATTAGTATGTTTTCTATCTAGAGTTTAAAATGCTTCACAAACATATTACAAGATCAAGGAACAAACAGAACTCCTTAGTGCCAATTATTTTCTTAGGAACATTAGATCCTTCTCTTTATCAAATATTGGCAAGGATAGGCAGAAGTATCTCAGGAAATCCTCGTTTTCTGTAAAGAAAAAAAAAGAGAATGATGCCTGTCTAAACAGATGTAGTTACGATGTAAATTGTAGAGTCTGTATCCTTGAAGGGCTGACCAAACCCTCCATCTCTGATGAAATACATAATAACATATAAACACTTTAATATTTAAAATTGTCCCTTAGGTACCAGGAATAAAGTGAGTTACAGAGCTGACAGCCTGATGTCCCATCTGCATTCAGCACACAGAAATTCAAAAAGGACTCTGATAGTTTCTAGATGTGATGTATTCTTGCCATATATTATCAGTGATCATAACACTTAACTGTTCTGCACTGATGCAATGCTACATCTGAGTAATCAGAATTAAAAAAAGAGAAGAAAATACTATTTTTTCATAACAATATGAGTTTCCTTAAGGGTTGCCAAGGCCACCTAGTTAGAGTCTTTATGTAATTTACTTAATATTGTATTTCAATTGTTCCTTCTAGAAGTAAAAAAAAATGTTCAAGACATACCAGTATCTTTGAAGAACTAAAACCAGAAATGATAAAACTGCAGCATGAAGCAACATGAAGAAGAAAAGTAAGATGCAGTCTTGCAAATAGTGTCTTAATGGCTAAAAATTTAAGATTTTAACTATTTAAGGATTGCACAACGGTGCTTCACAATTATGGCTAAGACAGTGCCTTATTTCCTGAAAGTAGGTTAAAAGTCAACATAGATCACAGTCTCTGCTTACTGTACACATAACTTCACAAAGCTCTTCAAGATCAAAATCTAAAGCCTATGAACTTGCTGCAAACTCTAGAAATGGTTAGAAATAGTGAAACATATCTTAACTATGTCATCTAACTAAATGAAAATTGATTTCAACTATTACTCAATTATCTATTTCCAAGGTTTTAATCAAGACTTTGTCTTTGAAGAATCTGTTCACCATAAAACTGGACTGCAGCACTTTGCATAATGCCTCACAGGAAATGTTCTTGGTGCATTATTAATTTCCACCAGTAATACCTACTCTACTTCCCTTTTCTTTCAAGTCATAATGCAGGAACTATGACTTGTCCTTCTTGAATTATGTTTCTTAATCAAGCTCCTAGTTTTAGAAGGATCCTCCTCTATCCCTCAAGAACTACTGTAAGTTAACTGATAACAAAACTGATGCTTATTTGATCTTTTCATTGCATCTACAGACAAAATTTTTGAAGTTTCAATGGTAGGCATTTCAGAGACTGGCAAGATGTCACCATGAATCAAAAACTTACTTATCACCAAGCTATTAGCTTTGCTACTATGCAACAGCAAAAAAACCCCTATTCTTTCTCTTCCATGGTGCTGTACTTCACGCAGCCATGCTTAGAGCAGTCACAGTATACCAAGCTCAGAGATCCCTGGCTAAAGGTGATACATCATCAGACGGAAAATCAAAATTGAAGCAATTAACAGCATGTAATTAACCAGCAATCAGTGATCTCTATATTTAAGACTCAGCATTACAAGTAAACCACAATATTAGATGCAAACAAAATGTTAATAAACCGCAATATTAGATGCATATGAAATGCTTATAATATACACAAACAAAAATTACCTCCTACAAAAACCCACCCAAAAAGCTCTAATCACAGACACATAAACACAATTATACATGCAAATCTTTTTCACAGGACCATGAGTAGTTAGTTACAAGCACACACATCTCATCTGGGAGTGCTGGTTCCCTTCCTTACACATCTCCTGCTAGAGGTGTGGGTGCTCTAGCTTTCTGTGAATCTGTGCAGCTCCTTACAACCTGCTAAATCTCACACCACTGTGAAAGAACCCATGATTTCATATATGCCCATCACAAGTGTGGGTATGTGTTGTTGCAGTCTGTATTGACAGTTCACTAACTGGATGCAGACACCTCACAGCATCCAACAGGGAGGATGCTCCTTCCTTAGACGGAGGTTTTGATTCCAGCAGAGCAATTTCTCACTGTGTCAAATGAAATTCTGAGTATTGCTGTTTCGAGTCCAAAATCTCTCCCTCCTCCTCACAAATTTCCATACTGCTTTTATACTTCTTTACAACCAGTCTCTTTCTTTGAAGAGTCAATACACACTACTGTGATTCTATTAAGCCAAAGAAGCTATATTGATTAATCTCCCAACCTAACATTCCATGAAAACAAGATCACGAATCTCCTGAATTTGAATCTGAAAAAGAAACTTCTTTTCTCCACACTCATCTTCCTCTTCCTACACCACAGCACATTAAGGGCACCCTTACCTCAACAAAGAATGGAAAACTTCTCACTTAGCTTTAGATGTCACCTGTATCCCATAATAGGTTTTAGATTTCACTTTAGGACAAAATAAATCACACATTTTGACTTCTAGCTCAGACGTAACTCTGAGCTGTATAACTAAATTTATGCAAGCAGAATCTCATCCCAAATTTTACAATACCATCTAAATTAATGTTTTCTAAATTAGCATGGAGCACATTCTTTTTTTTTTTTCTCCTGAGAGAAAGGATGCTTGGTTGCGCTGCATTAGCTTCTGTCTTTGTCCAGACTGAGAGCGCTATAAGTTTTAAGGTTTTCTCTGCTGCATCTCCTTCTCCACTTTTTCCTCCTGCCCCTAACTACCATCTATCAAAATCAACCTATACACTCGAAAGAGACAAGCACTAACACATACCAATATTCTACAGGTCAGATACGCTACTTGAAGTAATTCCAGATTCCCAGTTTCTCTATTGCAACACAGTAGCTCATCCATTTGAGGCATTCTTTAAAGGTCTGTTTCCAACTACAATCTTTCAGTCACTGATGTCTATGCACACTTTGAAAAAATCTCTTGGTATGCTATTTTTGCAGGTTGCCCGCTGAAAACTCTTTTTCAATATAACTTTGAGTATTGTTTGATTATGTAATGGAAGAGAAAGCTTGGAGAACCGTAATACCCACCTAGAGATGGGTGGTATGTTTCCAAGTACTGCAAAAAGAAATTCTCACATAGACTTTAGTGAGTATGAACTTGATGGTAAAAGAATTCAGTATCTTTAAAGATGTTCTAAATTACTGTCTTCATATTAATATATCTATGTAATTGAATATAAGCAGTTCACCTTCATTTTAATGCCAATTTCCATAAATTGGTTCTGACTTTCTGCATCAAACCAGATACAAGACTGTAGGGCAGGAAATGTTAACTACTTTTATGCTGCCACATTCAATAATTCTGTTAAAATGAAAATTACATTAAAAGGTGCCTTTTCCCTCTCAAGCCTCACATACATCATCACAACACCAGCAAACAGTTGTTTACCTTCATTTTCTTCTTCCAGATCAAATTTCTTATTACTGTGCAGTTCTTTCCCACAAATAGAAGATCCATCTGTATTCACATAACATGCTGGAAAATTATGATCTGCAGTCCTGGAGAAGGGAAGCAGGAAAATGTGAGTGATTGCAGCACTTACCACAGAGTAGGTACTACAAGGCAAATACACTCTCCCGTAAATGGAAAAGAAACACACTGATAACAATGTAAACCAGGAAGTCAATGTTCTTGGGTTTGGCACAACTTCACTTACTAACCTAAAGCAAGTGGGAGATAGAAAATTAAACATTTGGTTTAGTGAATTAAACTGAAAAGAGAAGCAAACTAGGTAAGTCTGAGGAAGAAAATTAGAAAGCAGAGTTAAAGATAATATGTCTCTTCACCACTTATTGTCCTATTTATAATCTTCACTGTTTTTGCTACAGGACTGACATATTCAAACATTTTCAGTCTTCTTAAGCACACTCCTGAAACAATAGTAAGGAAAACTGTAGTTCATGCATGCAATAAAAAGAAATCACTCTACCTTAATGAAATCTGATAAATTTCATATGTTTACTTGAAAAAATCTCAATATAAATTACATACTTTTGTTGCAAGTCTATTTTAATGCTATCAATTAAATCTATTTTTATTTTAGATCAGCATTGTTTCTAACATAAGGGTGATTCTAGGTCTGAACAAAGGCTAGTGGTTCATCAAGCTTAGTACTCTGTCTCCAAAAGAGCACTCAAAGTAAAAAGGGAACAATATGGCACGTAGTGGAACTTCTCCCAGATGACCTAACCCCCAAAAACTTGTAACACCTACAACTCCTCAATCAGAGACAAGGTCTTTATGTTCAATAGGTATTGATGGATGTTCCTTCCATTAAATTATCTACTCTTTTGAAGGCATGTAAACTTTGTAGAGTGAATTTGTGGAGCTTCTCGCAAAAGATATTACAGATGCTAAGCCAAGATGAATAACCAACTATTCTTGCTTCCTTTGAATGAGGTTTCTGTTAGCATCAACTGATGTTTCCATCCTTTTTATTGGAAGTGAGACTAAACAAGAAATCCCTAATGCACCACCTTCTTTCCAGTTGGGGTTTTTTAACCCGCTTTAACATTTCCATAGAACAGTTTTTTCTCTTGGGTAAAGAACTCTGGTTTACCTAGTTATTATTCCTGTTCTAACCACATCATAGTTTAGATCATCCTTTTTACCTGTCTTTGATTTTTTTCCAGTTCAACTACAGCATTTTTAAGAGGAAGAGATAGCAATCGTTAGGCACCAAATTCATGTTTTTATAAAATCTGTTGTAAACAAAAGAGCTCATTCCTGAGTAAGGTTGGGCAGCTCAAAATTCACCATATTATGTTGAGTAGTCAGGGATGTTTTCATCATCACAACACACTATAGATAACATTGTATTTAGCTACATTTGCCACCTCAATCTTCAATCTCTGTCTCAGTCTTCTTGTAAAGATAGTCAGAGATGGTCTTTGAGTGCTAGGCGGTGTTTATTTTACCCTGCATTGCTAGTCTCCTTGAACTAAGAACACTTTGCTACATGGTAACTTATGAATTCCAAAAATTAGTAATTAAAAGGCAGTTATTCTTGGGGATTTCCAGAACAGTAGCCTCTGATTTTGCTGATTAATCAATTAATTCTAAAGTAGTCCCATACACACATTTCACTGTCACTGGTTCTGTTTGGCTTCACTCCAATGTCAAAGCTTTTGACATTCTGCCTAAAATGCTGTCACTTATCTACACACACATGCCTTCATATTCCTTCCTCTCTTTCTCCTTTCATTTAAAGCTGCAAAAATTTCCATAAGCACTTTTATTCCCTTAATTTCAGTTCACATTCAAGAATTTAATTTTGTCTATATCATTTCTTTCATATACACTTTATCTTCCCATCCTCTTTCGTAATACTGTCTTCCATAAATGTCTCATTTGTCAGTTTACTTATCTGCATTTTAAATACTTCAAAAACTTTTATTTAACTACAGCTATGTTTTGCTTTTTACATTTGTTGTACAAATCTTAAAAAATAAGACAGGTAAGCCTTTAACAAAAACTCCTCCCTTACCCTGCTTTTGCTATGTTTTTATTACGCTAACACAGTGCTCTGAAATGAAACAGGCCCTACCAGATTTGTCTCTCACCTGATACAGTGGGAGTTGTGTCCCCTTACTCCAAAAATGGATTAGAATTACTCAGATCAATATTCAAGCCAGGCTTGCAGAATTAGGGTGCCAACTGAAAAATTCTGGGGTTTAATAATCAAATTCTCTGAGAGTCTGTACTTCCATTTGAAATACAATTAAATTCAAAAGATAGGAATCATCTGAGCAAATGCAAATGTCTGAAATGTAGATATCTGAACTAGTTGTCTAGACTTTATGGTCACAAGACAGAGATAAGTACTTTTGTGGTATGATTCATCTGACCTTTTAGAAACGTATGAGATCAACTGAACCCTGCAGGCACTTGTTTTTCTGCTAAGAGTATAAAAGACTAAAAGACTTTCCAGATGAGGCTACCTCTGATGTCCCTTAAGCAACTATAAGGGGAATCCACAATGAATAGCCCAGAAGATGTCTGCAATAAAAAGGCCTTAAGTTAGCAGCATGAATACCACACAAAACATTTCAGCCTGAATGTCACAGACATACACAGACAGGCAGCTTTTCCAAACACTTGTTTAGAAGACCAAAGTTTTTATTACAGTCTAAACTGGAGGTGCTAACCCTTCAAAGAGTGTGAATCTTTCTTTATTAGCAGAGAGAAGTTTTTTATTAATTAGGTACCAGAAAATTTGAAAGAAAAAACTGTCATAATGTATAATACTTTGCATTTTAAAATTAATGCCAACAATATTCTCTAAATCTTAAAGGGTAGTTTTCGTGCATGCTCTTACACTATCTAGACCATCTCATTAAATTATTTTCTTTCTTTTAGTTAATGGCATTGCATCAGTCTTTGTCAACCTTAATATAATATGACATAAATATAATAACAATACATATTTCAGAAACACTTCATCTGATTATTTTTTTTAAGAAAGGGGTAGAGAGCCAGAATATTGCTACTCTCTTTATGATTCTAAAAGTCATCAAGAACATATATCAATACTGAGTCTTATCCTGTAACGGTCAAAAAGTTTCCATTAAGCCCCAAATTCTAGAAAATTCTACAGCTCTAAAAGTTATCAAAAACACTTGATCATATTCTAGGTTGTGATCCAAGGGAGAGGGACCAAACTAAAGGCACTAAAGCGACCTTTGGCACTTTTCTCATCCTGGTGAGCACAGTGGGACAACTGATGGTGGCTTTTAGATAACTGGATCTACACATCCTAAGCAGTGCAACCTCAAGCTCCTGCCTCATATGTCTTCCTTACACAATGACTCCTGGGACATGTCTAGAGAGCTGTCCTATAAATGTTGTGCTGAATATCACAACACCTCTTGTGGAACATCCCAAGATGATTGGATACTTTTCAGTAGTCATTAAAAAAAAAGGAAAGTTCCTTTAAAGTTGAATATAGGAGCCAGAAAGTCAGGAGGGAAACCAGTGGACAGGATATGAACACATTCAACACCTCAAGCTGATTTTTCCATTCTGTACTGACTGAATTCTGCACAATGCTGCGTATTATAAGCATTTGTGTCTTTACATCCAGATCACAAGCAAAGCAGCAGGATGTGTTGCCACCTGGTGTGGAGGTGATGTAAAAATCTTTGCTGACTCCTGTGTGAGTAAAGGCGGCGTCACTGCAGAGGCACATCTCTGCGCGGCACATCCCGGCAATGTCGTCAGCTACCTTGCTTGCTGACTCACGTCTCAGGAAGAAATCAGCTCAGAGGACAGTGTCCTTCAGCCCGTGATGATGCGGAGCAGGCAAACACAGGGAGTGCAAGACTTGCCAGAGAATGGGGAGAGAGGGAGAGATGGCTAGAGGCAAAGGAGCTGAAAGCATTTGAAATGAAATGCAAATATATATGTGTACATCTGCCAACGGCCAACCTGTTGATCCTGCCATATGATGCTGAAGAGATTCTAAAACATTATGACTGTTATACAATCACTCACGTAAATGGGCTGCTCTTAGATGAAGGATGAATGTCTGTTTCACATCAATCATTTCAGAGTTTTCCTGCACTTCCTTTGCTAAACGGATCTGTGCTTTTTAATGGAAACTTCATCTAAATAACCTGCCTGGTATTCCACTGGGTAAAGAACCTCTTAAAAGTGGTAAAAGCAAGTTCAGTGAGCAGATTTTTTAAGGACAGCAATAAACATCAGAATTGTTATTTATAAAGATTGCTTTTCCTCAGGAATAGATCGTTATACAATTAAGCTTGGAAAACCTTTTCCCTGTTTTCAAAAAGAACAGTGTAATTGCTGCCAACTGTTTTCTATAGACTCCCATATGAAACACAATTTTACCTTTCTTTAAAACCCTGTATGCTGCTCGAAGAAGCAATTACAAACCCAAAACCATCGTTCATCTTCAGGAATGATTTTCAATAGCAGATTTGTGGGCAGCCCTAATGTTAGTCTTGAAAGAAGCTGATGCTGTGCCTTTTACAGTTATTCAATACTCCAGAGCACAGTGGTGTTCTACTGCCCCTGCAGCTGAATACGTCATTATAAACATGTCGTACATGTGCACCCTGCCACTGAAAGATCTCTAGGGACATTATCTTTTGATATCTTATGAGCAGAGGTTTCACCTGTTCTCTACAGCTTAACAGGGGAAAAGAAGCATTACCACAAAAATATTCCAAGTGCTTTTTGGCAAAATTGTTGACAGACCCATTTTGGTACCACACTGGAAAAGAGATAGAAGCTTGAAAAACAGGTTAATGTATAGTTACCTGTAAGAGAAACATTTTTTCTCATGTAGCTGAAAATCTTCATCTAACATGGTGATAAGTCATTTTGGCAGAAAAACCATCCTTGCAATTCATGAAAAATCCTTTCATAACTTTTCTCAGAAGAGGTTGTTAATGATGGGGAAAAGACTGACAGACTGACTGACTGACTGACTGACTGACTGACTGATGTCAAAACACTTAATTGAGTGAAAAAAATTCCAATGCCCTGAGAAAAACTTTTAAGTATACACAAACACATTCACTAGGCCTATTGCACTTATAGGCTCATCAACACTGTCTTGTGTCTGTAAAGCTATAAACTAATAGACTTGTGGGGGGGAAAAAAAAAGGGAGAATATATTTTCAGACACAGCAAATACTAGATTCCAGACTATTTTCAATCTCTCAATAGTAATTCCAATTCACATGAGGTTTTTTTCTGAAAAAGGATATATAGTTGATATATGCACTATCCATTATATAACACACAAGTTAGTCAGAAGAGTATTTTTACAAGGGAAGAGTCGGATTTGAGGTAGAAGATAGAGCCCTTTAACACTGAGGTATTTAACATTCACAGGATAAGTTTCTCTACTATCAGCATTATCACAAGAAAAGACTGCCGGTCATTTCCAAAATATGTGGAACTACACAGTCACATTGCCCATATGCACTGTCTTTAGCCATCATTTTTGGCCTAAAATAAGAATTTCAATTGTGTATGAAGCAGTGGTATTCTGAAAAATGATTCCTAACGCAGTGGAACAAAAAATTCAATGTGAGACTTGAGATGGGTGACCTGTCAATCAGCTATATTTACTGTATCAGTTCATATGATGAGAAAAGAATGGTCCTGGACCACACAATTACAACAGCCCCACTGCACAATCTGGTAGTCATAATGTGACAGTTCTTTGAATGTAGAGCCCCAAAAGGTGTAGCTTAGTGCCTTCTCCCTGGTTCTTTGCCTCCAGACACTAAATGGTTCTCTTTGAGATACATGGAGCCATGGAGCAGAAAAGAGACCATGAGACTACATTGTACAAGGCCCAGATATACCTAGAGGCCAGAGCAGCATCTAGCACTACAAATGAGAGGAGATAGATCTTGTCTTCACACAGCAAACAGTTAATCTGGTAGAGTTAAACAGTAATCACTCCAGTATCCACACTTAAGTTATTATAAAGCATTTGGATTTCCATCATGTAATCACGATAGATACAGGGGGAAAACAGAAAACATTAAAAAGGTGTTTCAGTAACCTGTAGAACCACAGAAAACACTAGAAATTCATTATTGTTTCATATAAACTAGATGATGTTTACTTTGAACTTTGAATTCCTGAGAAACTGTTTCAAAGAAAAAAGAGATTACCTTTTGCCATTGAATGTGTTAATGCCCTTAAATCAGTTCAACCTCCTGCCTCCCTTCTCCCTGTTTCCTTCAAAAAAGCACAGTAACAGTTTCAAAACTAATTCTCAGTCTGCACAGATAATCATACTTTTCCTGGCTTCAATCACTGCTGTGGCATTTGCTTGGCTAGAGCAGAAGACGAACACATGTGGTCATAAAGGCATAGAAAAATCTCCTTCTCTCTGTGAAAATAATTGTACATTCTATGGTACACTAGAATCCAACACGAAAGATGGATGGTATTTCTTAAATACAATTCAAAATCAGGAAGTTTCAATGGGAGGTTTTATCAGTGTGGGAATAGGGTAATTATTGTCATTTCATTGCTCTCTAACTATCTACAATTATCTTTTTATACTAGTAATCAGGCTGATACCATTTGATCTCCTTTGCTTTTTATCCATCTAATTACAAAGTAGCAGTAGATGTTTGCATCACAAAGACTGGTTTGAGTACCCATTGCAGATTCCTTCAATTTTCAAATGTCTGTATTTTCCCAAAGATGTAAGACTGAAAGCTAAACACATATTTAAAGGCTATATTTTATGCAGCGATGGTAGTCATGTACTTAAAAAACAATTTTATGCAGAAAGATTCATCACATTTTTCACCAGCAGTGTGTAATACAAATTAACATGAACAGAATGATAGAATCATATGTCATCCCTCCATTTTGATTAATAAATTATTGGGTCTGAGACATGAAACTTGTGCTCTTTTTCTAATGTGTACCAGAAAAATATAAAACTTTTCAACAAAGCCTTTTTGAAAAGTTAAAAGTTGAAAAGCATTTCAAAAGCATTTCAGAACAGTAGTTCTACTTTCTTGTGACCCTATTTCAATCACCAAAAAAAAAAAAAAGTAAATTTGGAGACTGGTTTTCAGAGTTAGAAGGGTTGATAGAGTTCATTTGGTTTTGGTGATCTAAAGCTGGTCTTTGGAGGAGCTTTTCCCTCACTCTTAGCTATATAGCCTCTTAAAACACCAGATATGTGTAGAGGAAGTCCTGCGATCACACATCTTGCCATACTTCATGACTACAAATGCTACTGTGTCTCCTGTACAGTAACAACCCTACTCCCCTTTGCCCAAGAATACTTTGTTTTATTACAAAATACTCCCTCAGCTGTGACCTTGAAGAAAAGCCAGTTGTGGCAAGGGAAAAAAATATGCCTTGCTTTGGTATAGCCATTAGTCACCAATATGTGATTGCAGCTGGATATCAGGTTCAGTTTAGCACTCAAAAAAAGGAATAGTGCTGGTACAAGCTCTGAGGCCAGTGCTCTTGCACACCTCACAAAATACAGCTCCTTTTTACCCCAAATTTAACCCTAACTGCAACCGAAGACCCCATCATAGATAAATGCAACCAAATCATTATGAAAATGTGTATTTCTAAAACCACACACTTCTTCTTGCTTACTAAAATCCATCAGCAAGTGCAGCCCTTCCATTATGCTTTTCTGGAAACTAATCTCAGCAAATCTCATAACAGGCCTTAATGAAACACAATGACTGCATAATGAGTGGTTCCTCAGGCTGGAGTTTTTGCTCACTAAATCATGCAGACCTTACTGGGTGCTACAGTGAACAACAGCCCTACATTGCCACTTTCTCTAAGTTCCAACTTCAACAAATGTTGAAGTAGGCTTTTACTATGGAAAAAGGCTTACTTGAGAAGAATTGAAATGCCTCTAAGAGAGGTGAAATTTTGTGATATTTTCCTTACTCGCTCAATTGTGTTTCACAGAGGCAAAAGATTCTAGAACAAGATATGTATATTGCTGTAAACATGTATAAAAGGCAAATTATAAGTTATAGTTTTGTGCATGTCTGGATTTTTTTATGCCTAAGCTATCTTTCTCATGTTATGAGGCAAAATTTTGGTGCAGTATAAGGTTCAATCACATCTTGTGGAGCTTGATCAGGATACTTGTGGCTCTAGCATACCCACTGACATGCTGTAGCCAGAGTTCAGTAAATTATTTCGAAATAATACTGCAGCATTTTCTATGAAGTTGGCAGATGGACGGACTCTCTACTCTTTGATGCCCGACAGCAAAATCTTTAACACCTGGTGTTGGATTTCAGCCTATTACATCCCTGAGACGGCAGCCAGGAGAACCCTCCTCGCTGGGACGGCGCCAGTGGCTTTGCGTCTGGCGGGGTGTGCGACACACAGCCTCGCCACAGGGCTGACCGTATTTAACTCCCGATTACATGCCCCTCGTCTGCCTACGCAAGGTTTTATGAAAAGCTGGCGCTGGAGAGAAACGCTGGAAACCACGAGTCCAGAGCTCCTTCTGCGACATTATTGCACGAGTTACTTAAAACTGCTCCTCGGGGAGGTTTTCTAGCTTCACTGTTAGCACAGGTGGAAGCGTTTAAGGATGAAGGAGTTCCAAGGAGTTGTTCTTTTAAATTACTTTTTTTTTTAATCTTCATTCTGTACAGAAACGCCCGTCAGCAGCTGCTCTCCTACACGGACAGCCCCAGGCTCCCATACCTTAAGCCAAAGTTTTAAGCTGGCACAGTTCCCTTCCCGGCACCCCCAAGGCAATCACGCGGGGCGGACCGGGAGCGTGCGGTCTGCAGGACCCGAACCGGGCCAGCCGGGACTCGAACCCGGAACCTCCCAGTCAGGGCCCGCCGGCGCCGGCACCGTCCCGCCCCGCCCCGCGCCTCCATCCGCGCGCGCCAGCCCCCACCAGTGCCGCCGCCAATCAGCGCGCGGCGCGAGCCGCCCGCGGAGGGACAATAGGGGAGGGGCCGGCAACGCCCTGCCTCCGGCCGGGCGGTCCGATTGGCCGGTTCGCCGCCTAAACCGGCCAATCGAGGGATGCCTTGCCGAGGCCCGCCGAGCCTATGGGCGTGTGGGTTCCTGTTCCGCTCGGGCAGTTTGAACGGCCGGTGCGGGTGGCGCCGCGGCCGCAGGTGAGCGGGGAGGGGGGGCCGGGCTGGGGCCGCGGGGCCGCCCTCTCTTCTGCACAGCACCCGCGTCCCTGCACAGCGGGGTCGGTGCCGGCACTGCCGCCGCGCCTTCCTTCTCCACAGCACCCGCATTCTTGCCCGGCGGGGCCGGGGGCGGCACTCCCACCGCCCCTTCCTTCTTCACCGCACCGGTATTGCTGCCCGGCGGCTTTATGCGCCGCCCGCGTCCCCACCCCGAGCTTCCCGACGGGCCGGCGGGTGCCCCCTGCCCCCGGGTGGTTGGGCTGGTGGCCTTAAAGGCCCTGTAAAAGCAAAGCAAAGAGGAGGAAGATCTCCTGTTCACAGTCTGATCATGCTCCCCGCCGCCAGACCGCCTCGAGACGCTCGGCGCGGTGTCCCTGTTGTCCCCGGCTGCCATGGCAGCGGCGGTCGTGGCACTGCGGACGCTGCCGGCGCCGGGGGCAGCTGCGGAGGGGCTCCAGAGAGAAGTTAAAAGCGTGAGCAGCGCTGCTTTGCAGGGAGGTGCAGCTGAAGGGAAAGGATATGTCATGCATCTACTGGCAGGTGGTATAGTTCTGTCCCTAGTGGTGACCCCCAAGGTTCAGTATTGGACTCAGGGTCGTTTAACTTGTTCACCCATGACTTGGATGAAGGGACAGCTGCCTCCTCAGTAAGTTCACTGATGACACAAAGCTAGGAGGAGTGGCTGATACCCCAAAGGGCTGTGCTGCCCTTCAGAAGGACCTCGATAGGTTGGAGAGATGGGCAGAGAAGAACTGTCTGAAATTCAACAAGGGCAAGTGCAGGTGTTGCACCTGGGGAGGAATAACCCCCTGCACCAGCACAGGTTGGGGGTCAACCTGCTGGAAAGCAGCTCTGTGGAGAAGGACCTGGGGGTCCTGGTGGACAACGAGCTGTCCATGAGCCAGCAGTGAGGCCTTCTGGCCAGGAAGGCCAGTGATGTCCTGGGGTGCATTAGGAAGAGCACTTCCAGCAGGTCGAGGGAGCTGATCCTGCCCCTTTACTCAGCCCTGGTGAGGCTTCACTTGGAGTGCTGTGTCCAGTTCTGGGCTCCTCAGGGCATGAGAGACATGGAACTACTGGTGTGGGTCCAGCAGAGGGCTACAAAGATGATGAGGGGAACTGGAGAGTCTCATTTGTGAGGAAAGGCTGAGGGAACTGGGCTTGTTCAGCCTTGAGAAAAGAGGACTGAGAGGGACCTCATCAATGTCTATAAGCATCTGAAGGGAGGGTGCCAAGAGGATGGATCCAGGATCTTCTTGGTGGTGCTGAGCAATAGGACAAGGGGCGATGGGCAGAAACTGGTGCATGAGAAGTTCCACTTGAATATGAGGAAGAACCTCTTTACTGTGCAGGTGACCACACACTGGAACAGATGCCCAGAGTGGTTTTGGAGTTTCCCTCACTGGAGATTTTCCAGAACCATCTGGATGTAATCCTGTGCCATGTTCTCTAGGATGATCCTGCTTGAGCAGGGAGGTTGGACCAGATGCCCCACTGTGGTCCCTTCCAACCTTACCCATTCTGTGATTCTCTTTCCTAGGTGTTGAGTTCTCTGATCTGCATGAAACATTAAATTATTTGGAAGCATCACCTTTAGTTAAAAACAAAGCCAGAATTGCAGAAACCTGAGCACAGCTTAATTAGTTCAAAATTAAGAAGGAGAGCAACCATGGTGAGTCAGACCAAAATCTTTATAGTTGCATCCAGTTTCTTAAAAGTAGCAGTCTTGTGTCTCACCATATAATATTTGCAGCTGAGCAAATCAGCTTGTTGACCCAGAGATGGTGTCTTAATATCCCTTGATTTCTCTTTTAGAAACTTGTCTGGTATTTTGTGGGACTTAGTGCTTGTTCACTGAGATTAAAGCAGACAAGTTATTCTTAGGCCAGCTTGCTGAGCAGGGATCTTCTTCTGGAGCTATGGCAAAAAAAGAAAGTGTATGCCTAGTGGAAGCAAAGTCAGGTGACATGGGAGGAATACAGAGATGCAGCTCTCCACTGTAGAGAGAAAATTCATGTGGCCAGAGCTCAATTAGAATTGAAGCTGGCCTGTACTGTGGGGGACAAAAAAAATTGTTTTTTTAAAGTATGTCAGTAGTAAAAAGCAGTCCAGAAATAATGTGTGCCTGTTACAGGATGAGGATGGTCACATCACAAACAAGGCTATTGACAAGGCAGAGATGTTTAGTGATTTCTTTGCTTCAGTCTTCAACTCTGATGCAGTCATTAGTCACAGCCAGCATGGGTTCATGAGAGGAAGGTCTTGCTTGGCAAACTTAATTCTCTTTTATGACAAGGTAACCCACATGTTTGTTCAAGGGAAGCCAGTTGATGTAATCTTTTTTGGATTTCAGTAAAGCTTTTGATACTGTCTTTCACAGTATCCTTCTGGACAAAATGTCCAGCACACAGCTGGATAAACATGTGGTGTGATGGGTCAGCAACTGATGACCTGTCACTAGTGGGGTTCCATGGGGCTCAATCTTAGGCCCTATGCTCTTCAACATCTTCATAAATGATTTGGAGACAGCACTGGAAGGGTTACTAAGTAAGTTTGTTGATGATACTAAATTGGGTGGAGCTGTTGATTTTTTTCAAAGACAGAGAGGCCATCTGGGACAGGGCAACCCCGGATGTGTGAGCAGACTTGGAAAAATAAGAGGCTGGAAAGCAGCCCCACAGAAAGGGACCTGGGGGTCCTGGTCAATGGCAAGTTGAATATGAGTCAGCAGTGCCCTGGCAGCCAGGAGGGCCAACCGTGTTCTGGGGGGCATCAGGCAAAGCATCACCAGCCAGTCGAGGGAGGGGATTGTCCCACTCCACTCTGCACTGGGGCGGCCTCACCTTGAATATTGTGTGCAGTTTTGGGCACTGTAGTATAGGAAAGATATTGAGCTACTAAAGAGCATCCAAAGGAGGGCAACAAAGATGGTGAAGGGCCTTGGGAAGGCATATGAGGAGCGGCTGAGGTCACTTGTTCTGTTCAGCCTGGAGAAGAGGAGACTGAGGGGACACCACGTTGCAGTCTACACCTTCCTCATGAGGGCAAGAGGAGGGACAAGGACTGATCTCTCTGGTGACCAGTGACAGGATCCAAAGGAATGGCATGAATCTGTGTCAGGGGAGGTTTAGGTTGCATATCAGGGACAAGTTCATCACTCATAGAGTGGTTGGGCTCTGGAACAGGCTCCCCAGGGAAGTGGTCACAGCACCAAGCTTCACAGAGCTCAAGAAGTATTTGCACCATGTTCCAGGCACATGGTATGATTCTAGGTGCAGGGCCAGGACATGGACTTGATCCCTGTGGGTCCTTTCCAGCTCAGGATATGCTATGATTGTAGCATGATGTAGCAATGACATGTCTGTAAACACAGGGTTAAAATAATTGTATTTCTCTTCATTTATCCTAGCAATGCAATCTGTTGTTTTGTACAGATATCTGGAATTTTAGGTTCACTAGGATTTTTACTGAAATGCTGCACTAATCAGAATGCAAACTCTAGACACAAATATTAACAGTAAGACAGGCAAAACATAGAAATGTGAGGAAAGCTCAAACTCTAAGTATTAAACTGTTAGTGGAATCTAAAGCTGTGCTCAAGTCAGTAAAGGCAGTCAGGTGGAGACCAGATGGACAAACACAGTGGAGGGCTAGTCCATGGTTATAAAGAAGAGGGATGGGAAGAGGAGCCAAACACACTGAGCTTGAGGTGACAGCAAGTGACTTCTTATATAAGACAATGTCAAACAGGTAAGTTTCAGTTAACAGATTTGAAGGGAAGGGTGGTCTGGAGGGGAGAGGTAGCATTGCTTATGATGAAGGAACCTTTTGAGTTTTAAAAGACCATGGAGTAGTTTCAGTGATAAGTAAAGAACTAGATCCGCTAGAGTGTGTGTCAGGGACATGATCTTAGAAAACCGGAAACATAAATCAGGAGAGTGGTCTTATGTTATTGCACAAATTTTTCAGAAAAAAACTTTCTCTTCTGCTTCTCTGGACTTGTCTATGTTCACATGGAACTCCATTTGCCCCCCCGTGTCTCAGAAAAATCAACAGTTTAGTTCTTTTAAAGTGGACTGAGAAGGGAAGGTAACAGTATTTATAACTTCTGACTGCAAATACACATCTAATTCCTGTAAGTGCTAGATAGCTGGTCCTTTGTGATCTTCCATAATGCACCCCCCCCCTCCACATTTGGATGCATCTGGGGCTTTTAGAGTAGTCAGTATCCACAATTCGAGAAGCTATCTATGTGGGAAAGCACGTGAAGTTGCAGCTGATTTTTTAAGATTACTGAAGAAGTATTTTTTTGGTATTGAAAGAATTTATCAGCTAAAGGAAGGTAGGGTGCTAGTATAAAGCTATTTTATTAGGTAGAGAGGCCAAAACCAAAGGTGCAGATAAGGAATAATTTGTGTGTGAGAGAGGAAATTATCAGAGCAGGAGACAATGAAAACAGAAGAGGTGAGGAAGCTAGTATTTCTTCTCTCATCTACACACCATTCTACAGCAATAAAAAATATATAGTAAACATTCATTAGACTTCCTATTTTGTACTTAAAATACATGCTTGGTATATTAGGACTCAGCAGGAAGTAGGGAGATATTAATAATGTCTTTTGAACTTTGTGCAATAGGA